CCCTTTTAAATCTAGCTAACAATTTGGACAATATATTCATCTTAGATCTTATCCTAAACACCCCACCCCCATTGCACCAAAACCTCTATAAAATTCTTAAAGCTAGTATGTTTCTAAAATATTACATATCTTTTTTATCACTTAAAGAATCTATCGAGTGTTTGGAATATTCAAAACATTTTTGGAAAAAGTTTTTAATCTCAATTTATCTTTCAATTGGAAGTTAGTCCAAATTCCTGGTAAAATGGGTGGCATTGACTTATTATCCCTTCATACCTTGTCCCTACCACCTTTCCTCTTCCCATCTAACTATGCGGCAGAACAATGTTTCGATTGATAGTTTTTCTTGATATTCAAAAAAAAAATTCCCCCTAATGTCAAAATCCTATTATATTTTATCCACTCTTCTCCTCTTGAAGACATCCACCCCTTAAAAATATCGATAAAATAAATGGGCATGAGTTTTAGGAAGATTGTCTAATAAAAATTTAGGAAAAGTAATTGATGTAATTGACAAATCAACAAAAAAAACACGATTTTCAACCCGACCCCATCAGATTCTTAATTTTTACTAGTTTCCATATATTATAACTAAAAATTAATTTTAGCCTCCAATTCCAAACAGCGGCTGAGATACGGGCTTACAAAGGTCAAAAAAATGGGATTTTTAGGCAAAATGCTCTCCTTTTGATTTTTAATAACTTTGAATAAAATTTAGCTAGAAGCGTTTAATTTTTTTTATGTAGCCTAATTATGCCTAAGTTAAATAATATTAAATATGGTAATAAAAAAAAATTAAATGCAAAAACCGGAAATAGTCATAAAATCAAATCGGCAATTTTTTTCTCTCAAATTTATATGGATATAGAACTAAATAAAGAATGTGCAAAATTTTTAGAGTACATTTTAATCATTAGCCAATTGTAAAAATTAGTAATAAATATTTGATAAATTATTAATTTATGTATATTTAAGTTGAAATATTTTAAATATCGGCGCCCACCCTGGATGTTTTAAAAAAAATTAAATTACGGCACGGCCCGTGTACTCAGGTCGGGGCCTACAGGCCTCTGATTTAAATAAAGTAAAATAAAAATTAGAGAAATCGGGATTAAAAATAAATCTACATTTTGAGCCAGGTGGGAAAGGCTTCTTAGACAGGAACCTTGATTTTAAAATTTATTCAGAATTCAAATGACTCGACTTCGACAAAAAAAATTATTTTATCTTTAGGAAATCTTTATTATCTATCCTACAATTTTTATAAATATTCCGATTTCAATATCGCACCTTTTAACACTCCAAAAATTTAAAACTTTTTTGATCAGATGAACATATGTGAAAATTTTGAATTTTTTTCCGGATCTTTATTTATTTTTTTATCATTTTACAACTTCAAATTTTTAAAATTAATTTTTTTAAAAAATTTTATACTTGAATATAGGTTCCTGGACAGATCAGGACAAAAAGTTAGTGCTAATTTTTTTTGATTTAGTATAAAATATAAATATAATATTAAAGGGAATATGAACATTAATTAAATTTAATTGTATTATATTTAAATTTGCTTGCAGTTGAAAAAGTTACTCATTGCTTGCTGAATAAACTGGTAGTATTTTGCCAATCGCCTTCATCATAAACTAATACTATATAATTTTAATCTTCAAATTAATAGAATATATAATCCGCGTATGAATATTACAGTGGCATATCCATGATTTTCCTATAGGGGGGGGGAATTTTGGGGGCTTTGCCCCCAAACCCCTTTGGCCAGCTTTTTCCTCACATTCGGCCGGGTCATATCTTTGAGCTATTCTTTTAAATTATTCATAATTCAATAATAATTATATTAATATTTTAACTTTTATTTGAATTTTGGTTCCTTTTATAATTAATTATTAAAAAAATTTTTTTTTTAATTTTTAAATATAAAATTTATTAATAAAGACAAATTAAATCTGACAAAATGATAGTATAAAAAATAAATCATGTCCAAAACATAATTCTATAATATTCAAGAAATTTAACAAACAAGGACTTCATAATACAAAGTATTATAATAGATATAATGGAAATATAATAAATGCAAATGATTATATGAAGAGATTTTAAATAATTTAGGGAAGAAGAAGAAAATCTAGATTAATCGGCTCCTCGGGGAATGAACCTATGGCATGTGAAATTAGATTTTATAATCTGAATTCCTAAGCGTTGACGTAAGTAGACGCTTTCTTTTGGGTCTCCTGATTTATTTACTAATTCGCGCTTATGAATATAAGAAGAAATAAAGGTTATAACACAATTTTTATTTTAAGTTAGGTATATTATAAATAAAAAATTTTTAAAAAATATAAAATTGAAATAAAGTTTAGTGTCAATTTTTTTTAAATAAATTTGTTTAAAAACTAGCCTCAGCTTAAATTCTCATATAATATAAATATAAATTTTTTTTTATTGAAAATACTAATTGTAGTGTGTATAAAATATTGACTAGAAAATTTTTTAAAGAACAAGTTTTTATAACTTATTAAATACAATATTATATAAAAAATTTATTAAATACTAGAATTATAATGCAATTTTTAATTTTCGTGGGAATTTTTCCAATTCATCAAGAATTTTCTTTGTCGTTGGAATGAAATCTCTATGAATATTTAACAGAACTAACCCATTTAGCCGAGAAGTAGTATTTTGTAAATAAGTTTTCAACCTTCTCAATTTGAAAAAGGTCCTTTCATTCGTATATGTTGTAATAGGCAAACATGCAAGAATATTAAATACCTTCAAAATATTTGGAAATTAAGCCTCCTTATACTGATTGAGCGCATCAATAGCATGCTCAGGTAAAATAATAAACGTAGTAAATATTTATACCACAATTCGAATTCACTGATCAAATTGATTTCAGTATTAATATCATAGGAATAAAATTTTGCTAAATATTTAATTATATCAATAATGGCATCACATCAGAAAACGAAGAAGGGTCTTTAGGTAATAAATTTGAAGATTACAAAAGACTTGTTTTTTATCTAAAACCCATACTTTAATTTGCGATAAAAAAGTATCTAAGAATGGAATGAAATTGGATATTTTATAAGATTTAGTTTGATTCAACGTCTATATAAATATTATGAAATATTCAACTACATTCATTCTTCCTGTCCACATTTTCCTCCAAATCAATAACTTGAACCAAATCGAAATTTGGTTTTTGTAAATTTCTACATAGTAGTGAGCTATAGGAAAATAATTTATTAATACAACTAGCAGTAAGGATAAACTCTGCTTGATATTGAAAAATTTTGATGGGGCAGGAGGGGGGGGGTGTCGGGGGAAATTATTTTATTATCTTAAAATAATATTTAGAAAAACAATCAAATTTGCTATGGGGGGGTGGGGTGAATTCCCCCCCCCTCCCATTGGTTACGCGCCTGATAATAGATA